AATTCTGAAAGCTGGAAGGAAAATTTAGACTCGGTACAGAAATAGTGCTATGATACCACATTCCAAGATAATTGTCTCTTGATTTCGAACTATAGCTGGTAATATTTTAAATGATGAAATGAAAACAAAGAAATGGCTCATTTGCAGCTCTAATAAACTCACATTTATCTTCATGTAAAACAATGGTCACTCAGACGACCTTTCTCAGTTAAACCTGAAAGTTAAGGTCGACTTGTGGTAAAGTGTAACCCATTCATAAGGGGTCGCAAGCTGGAACTCGCTACATGACTCTTACACAATGGAGAGTCACACAAGTCTCTCTGCAAAAGAGCAACCCTGACAAAAACAGTCACAGAGACCGTCAATCATCGGCACTTTGGTTCAGTAACGGCAACAAAAATGATTTTTACACAAACATGATTGTCACTGATAGTGAGTAGAAACGTGCATTATGAGGCATTTTAAACAAAGACATTTAAAAGTTGGTTTAATATTGTTTTGAATGCATTTCAGGTTTTCAAAAGAGCATAAAATCTAAAACCATATTAAACTCATGTTCAGTAACATCTAAATGCAGCCTGACGCAAGAGAAAACCTCAAAGTTTAAGCGCCGGGATGACACAGTGAAACTCTTTCCAGTGCCCTTGCCCTTCGCTCTTTGAGAGGGTGATTCATTCCAAGAATTTATTCCGTTAAGTAAAGACAACACAGTGCAGAACCTTGAGCGAAACCTACACAAACCTCCCACAACCTCTGACCGCCAAGGATGAGCAGTCAGGTCACCTCTGTTCCTGCTACAAAGAGCCTTTGGAGAATTCTCCTCGTTCAGAGCAGGTATTCCTGAGTCGGATCAATAACACCATAATATCATGCCGCAAACTCACGCCCGTGTTTACCGGCTACTTATTCAAACACTGTTTTCTAGAAGGAATCTTCTGCTGCAAACCTTTGGGACAAGTTCTAATTTTTGCTATAAGAGACTGAAAGAGATAGAAATTATCCATACACTGTTTCTATAAGATCTTCACTCTAAAGGAGCATCAGATAGATAATATACCAAGTTTCTGGTTTGCACACAGTAGAGCTCTGGGTTTCCTTGCAGGCTGGCCAGCAGTGCTTGTGGAGGTAATGAGGCCTCTTGTGTGTCCTCTCTGATCTGAGAGCTGAATAATTTCCCATGTGGTGCAGCCATTTCCAGCTTCCGCCTTTACTCTCACCCAGCAGGTGGGGCAGAGAGCAGAGAAACCTCCATCCTGCCCAGCCAACGTGTTGCTATTGTCAATCAACATTCTCTATCCCATCCAGATGGACGGATAATACTTTTTTTCTCCCCTTTTGGTTTCTACAATACGTAAAATTTAAACCCAAATTCAAACTTTAATCTTTTTTATTATTATTTTCTTTGAAATGTAACCAGTTCTAATCTGTACCTATTGTGTTTTTCTTTTCACAGTTTTGTTCGTCTCTGCTTATGTGCTGATGCTTTTCACTGGGCAGTGGGAAACTGGGAGTTAATAAATGGTGTACTTCAGCAGCCCCAGACACACGTGCTGGGTTGCAGATCTCCGTTTCAATGTGTCTTTTGTTTGATGGCTGGTGTTTCAACATCCTCGACTTGAATAGAAGAAGGTCAGCCTGGTGGGGTCTGCCCTGTGGTTATTCAGGAGCGCAACCTAGGGGCCCCATGGAGGTGGGAGTGACTGGGTAAGAGGCGTTGGGAAAGGGGAAGGAAAAAAATAAAAACTTCCCCTCTGTCAAGTTTTATGAAACCAGCTGGAAGTTTTAAGTTTCCTCAATCAGCGTTTTATCTCTTCATTGCTGTCAAGTGTCTCCAGGTGCACGAGCAACTTCACATCTCAAATAAATAGGGCAATCATTGCCTGACCAAAATCTAAATAACTAACATATTTTATATTCCTGCAGATGTTCATGACTTTTTAAAATCTGTGCAGAACAAACTGGTAACACTGCAGAATCAGAAAGTACACAAGACTGCCGTTGGCTGTAACTGCCACACACATCAAGGGGAAATTCTGCTAATATTGGAACTTGATTTTATACAAAACCTAAAAAGAACAAACCTCACACTTTCTAAAAAACTGGTAATAGCTTCAATTTCAAAAGTTTTTTTTTTTTTTTATAGTAAACTAATGCTAGTTATCAGTTAAAAACAGTCACTTCTTTTTCACTGTTGGTTTTATAGCCTTGGCAAAGGCTTCATTATTTTAAAAAAACAGGTAAATTTATTAACTTTACTGCTCATGCATACAGTAATTTCCAAACAAACTGTTTCACTAATTCAATGCAAAAACTAAATCAATTCACCACACAACTTTCACCCAATGAAAATCCCACATTTTTAGTTTAAAAAAAAGAAATGCTATATTATGGCCTGCACAATCATGGGGTTGACAGCTGTCAAGCACAACACCACCGGCACACTTGGCTAGTTGTTCGGAGAGTGCTGTATCCAAGCATGCGAATGGAAAATTGAGTGGAAGGAAAAAAGTTAGGAAAAAAAAGGCCCACAAACAACAGGGATAACCACAGCCACATGAATCAAAGAAAAGCAAAGATTCCACAAGGAGGAAAAGTCATAAAAGGTCAATGCTAAAGCAGCTGGCTGTTCACATAGTTCAAGCTGCAAAGTTTTGAAGTTTCCACAATTGATAACGATTTGTTGAGACATTCAATCCAGTCCTGTCACTATGACTGGTGTCTTGTCAAGTTGAAAGTGAGTGCTAGACAGAAAATAAAGCCCTAAGAAAAGTACTGCATGCTTTCCAATAGACTGGCATTTCCATATTAGTCATAGTTGATTAAATAGTGTATTTTAATGTTTTTATTATCCAATACTCTTTCCTTCCACTTAACTTTCTATCATAATGCTTAGAGAACTTTATCAACAACCAATATTTTCACCAATGACTTTTTGTGGCTTACCTTCCTTTTGGAAGATATAAATGCAAAACTATCAGCAGTCTTCTTTATGATTGTTTTGGTCATAACATGAATACAATAGAATATTGTTCTTGTCTTTATTTGTCTGATTTAATAGTTACACTTTCTGAAAAACTGAATTTAGGGTTTTCAACCATTTTTAACCAGCATTTAAATATCAAACATAATAAAAAACAACAGGAATAACTCTTTAGAAGATCTTAATAAAAGAAGAAAAGAAAAAAAAAAAAACTAAAACTAGCTGCTCCCAAAAGTGGGACTTTTTAGAAGGTGTGGGCTGCACAACAAAAACACACGGTCCCTCCCGCTCTGCGACTGACAATAGTTAGGAAGTGGAACAGGGAGAACTGTCTATTTTTTGGCTTCCTGTACGGTGGATATAAAAAGTCTACACACCTCTGGGTAAAACAAACATAAATGTAAGAAAAAGTTGCAGCACCCTTGTATCATAAGTTTGCACAGATGCAAACCAACACTTTGTTGAACTTTTTTTTCAAATTTCAGCATTTATTCTTCTTTGGTGAGAGTCTATGATCCTCTCGCTTCTTGAGAGGATCATCAAGAAACTATGACTTTTTTAGTCATAGTTATTTAGACAGCTCATTGTTGCAGCCACATTTTCTGTAACTTTGAAGCATGCTTGGGATCACTCTGACACCAAAACATAAAATCTGGAACCTTCCTAGCAGACACTTGTCGGTTTTGGGTCACAACTTGATGGTATGTACAACGGATTACATGCACCTTGACAAAAAAACAAACAAACAGAAAAACATTGTTGCATCTGATGAATGGTAACTAGCTGGATTATTTAATTCAGGCCTGGCTGTTGTCTTTAGAAAAAGAAGAAAAAAACATCAGTCTTTCAACCATAATCCATAAACTCAAGAGTACATAAGATTATTTTCACCTGCATAACTCAACCAAAAACTTGTTCATTGTTACTGTCAGGCTTCTGTCAGCCTCTTTGATCAGTTTTCATTTTGTCCATTTGACAATAATATAACAAGTTAAGTTTAACTAATGTCACTGTTGTTTCAAATTTTCATCTTTAAACCAATCTCCTGACTGATACATTTTTAATATATTCTTGGATTAAATGTCAACAAATTCCTTGTAGAAAAGCTGGACTTTATTCAAGTTAATTGCACCATTTTGTTGATATAATGGTTCTGATGAAGACTGAATCGTGGAATTAAATCAAGTATTAGTTTATTTACCACATCGTCCCCACAAATATGTGTTAATCCGTTGACTAATAAAGTCATAATTCACACTGAAAGTTTTGAAAAGACTTATCTTGCTCTCGTTATTAGTCGAAAATGAAATTGAACAGATGCCTAGACTACCTCAGTGTACAAGAGACGGCTCCCCCACTCAATTCCAATTTGCATCCAAATTCACAATTTATACAAAAAAATAATTATTTTTGTTCATTGAACTCGTAAAAAGCTAAATTCCTATTATGATCCAGCAGCACAGACAGCCGCAGCCGCTTTGTATGTACCAGATCACACGTGTTTCTGTTATCAAAGTTCAGACGCGCTCATTTAAACATGACATCCACTGAGTGATCTGCACTGCAGTGACCGTGTCCACTGTTACTCTGCGGCTCACATCCCCGCAGCCATGTGCTTTGTGCACGCCGGGCGCTCAAAGAAAACAAAATAAAATAAATGAATAAAAACAAAAAATTCCTGAAACATACAAAGTCCGGTTCCTCAAGCGTGCATAGAGACAGCAAAACGCGTGCACGCTGCAACAACGTATAACCTCTGGAGCGGTTCCTGAGATCAACGCGGGCATCTGTTCCTTGTACCAGGCTGCCGCTCAGCCGCAGGCAGCCTGGTAGTAAATAGTGATCACGGCTATTAAGAAAGCACGCAGCGGTTCATTCTAACAGAGTCTCTCCTCAGAGCCAGTTCAAGCGGTCACTCTATTGTTGGAGAAACAATCTGAGCCAAAGTGGAAACACACACACGCGTTAAGAGCAAAATATCACCCTCCCACCGCCGAGCATTAAGTTTGCAGCCACTCACCGGGGTGCGATCTGGGGCAGAAAGTCCTCGGTAATAATTCTCGTCTCTTATCTGTTTCAGATATCTTCCCTTCCTCACACACACGCACGCACTCTCTCTCTCTCTCTCTCTCTCTCTCTCTCTCTCTCTCTCTCTCTCATACACACACGGCCGCTGAGAATGGGACTGAGTAACTGAATAGACTCAGAGAGAGAGCAGTAAGTTGAAGTGTCAAATTACATCGGCTATTCTATTACCAAAGGGACCCGGAGCTCGGTGGCTGCTGACAAAACGTGTGGCGGATTTCTGGTTTTACCCTCGGATGCCCGTCAGGGGGAAAGGGAGGGACCCGGAACGGAGCGGACTGCCGCGCACCTGGTTCCTGGATCAGATGGATTTTGCATCATGGACATATTTGACTAAACAGACAAATAATCACTGATTCTTTTGAATCTACAGAATAATAATTTTTAAAAATCCTTTACTGTGCCACAGTGGAGAAACAGGTGTAGCTCTAGGTAAATGGAAGCCTGCATTAAAATACAGATTCATAAAAAAATATACAAAAACAACAGCAACAACAAAAAAGATCCTATACAGCAGGGGTGTCAAACTCCAGTCCTCAAGGGCCGCTGTCCTGCAGTTTTTCAATGTGCCACAGGTACAAAACACAGGAAAGAAATGGCTTAATTACCTCCTCCTTGTGTAGATCAGTTCTCCAGAGCCTTGCTAATGACCTAATTATTCTATTCAGGTGTGGTGCAGCAGAGGCATATCTAAAAGTTGCAGGACGCCGGCCCTCGAGGACTGGATGTTGACACCCGTGCTATACAGCAAGGGTAAATTTACAACATGGAAGAAATAATGCTGTACATCAATTAAAAATGAAGTTTTTATCCAGAGTTTTAAGAAAGTGCAAACAACAGCAGGGATGCAAACAATTATTAAGCTTTGTTAGGAGCTTAATAATAAACTTTAACAGCCAGCAGCTGCTAAAGTTTAAAGATGGTTTTAAACTTTAACAGCTGCTAGAAGGAAGGATCTATGATGATGCTCCTGTGTATTCCTGGGATGCACCAGTCACAGAAGGAACTTTAGTTCTGCAACGGCTTTATGCATGGAGTGGGGGACAATGTCCAACAACTGTTTTTTTTTTGTTTGTTTGTTTTTTGAGAAAGGTCTCCCATCACCTCCACTGGCTCGAGGGGGACATCCCAGGACAGCGATGGGCTTCCTAATGAAGTTATCTAACGGATTCCTCCCAGATCATTAATGGAAAATGGAGTAGAAGAAGAAATTGTGGGTAAAAGAAAAAGAGTGGGTAAAAGAGCACAAGCAACCAGAATAACCACAGCCTGAAGAGGATTGTGAAAAAAAACAAACAAAAAAAAAAAACAATTTAAATAGTTTTATGAACTGCAGCTGACATCACTTTTTCAAAAGCCATCAAACACAGATGGATTACAGGACATGAGCAGCAACTTTTGCTTGCCTTGTGATGAGTCACTTGTGAAACACAGACAAGGACTAAGTGTTGAACGTGAGAATAGTAGTGGAAAGTTTAGTGCTTTTTATTTATCTTGATGACAATGGCCTGTAGTGGAAAAAAATCCCCAAAACGTTGTCTCTCTAAAGATACGAACAGTCATAAAACCGAGAAATGCTATTTTCTGGCTTAATCACTAATTGGGTAGACAGCTGAAATTGTCCAGGTTGCTTCATTTTTCTACCAGTTTTCCTTCCACTCAGCTTTCAACCAATATACACAACTGTCAAGTGAGCAGTCTTACCCATTACTGTGTAGGCTGTAACGTAACGTTTCTATATAAAAAAACACTTTAATGGTAAATATGTATATTTAATCTCATTGCACTGTACCTTTTCATTCATAAAAGCATTAAACCCATTGAATGCAATTAAGCCATAAAACCCTTACGATATTATTGATTTATGCATGTAGTAATTATGCTGCGTGTATTCCTCGCCCTTATATAAATTAAAATGCAAGATGTACGGAAGTAATTAACGGCAATGAGCATTTCTCACTGCAAATCCAGCTGCATTCCAGAATCCATGTTTTGCAGGTCACCGCTCTCTGATGAAAAGCTCTGAATAACAAAGACATGTTTGAGAGGAGCAGCAGCAGAGGCATCAGCAGCAGGAACAGGAGCAGGCTGGGCTGAGCTCTGACGTCAAGGAGCAATGACTGGGGCCAAGCAGCATCCTTCCAGACTCCCACACACACACATGCACGCACACACACACACACACCCCCACACACACACTCACTCACTCATCCTGAGTGACCTGCTGCTGTCCACAGTGACCTGCTTGTAAGCAGCCATGTCAGAAGTCAGGAAGTCAGGAACACACCACCCTGCTTGTTGTAGCTGACTCTCCGAAAAGTTTGGATGCGAGCAGAAGCTCCTGTACCAGAAGTTTTCATCGAACGCCCCCTAACTACCCACCCCCTCTCTGTCTTTCTGTCTTGTGCGTCCAGTCCAGCTGTCTAAAGTTAGAGCGAGTGATGGGTTGGGACAATAGGGGCCATTTGTCCTGCTAAAAGGTGACAGGAAGCATTGATTTCCAACATGCACCCACAAATTAGCTATGGTGTACTTTTCCTGCTCACTGAGATCCAAAAAAAAAAATAATAATAATAATATATAATTGATTTGTTGCGCATGGTTTGCTACCTTGGAGCCTAAAGCTCCCATAAAATTTTATTGAGCTGTTAATTGTATTAAAACTCACTCTGGTTAAATAGATGATGGTTGCAAGGTGAGCCATAAACAGAAAAGGCTGCTATATAACTGGAATCTGTGGGAAACAAATTAAATATTGGGATACAAGACAAAAACAAGTTGCATCTATTTAATTATGGCATGTTTAGCAGACTAATTATATTCAAATTACCCTGATGCACAAAAAGCTAAATCAAAGCAGTAAGCAAAAATGAGAAGCCTGTCATCCGTTTTCAGTTGCCCAACATAGTTTTGGAATAATAAATCAGTCTGAAAAGTGTGTCAAATGTAAAAAGTAAATTCAAACAAATTTCCATCACTTTAAAGTCAATAAACCGAAAGCATGGTGTTTTAAAGTCTTTCACGTAATCAACACACAATTCTGTTTTTTTTTATTAGGTTCTTATGTGTTAGACCAACACAAAGGAGTCGATAATTGTCACAGGAAAGGAAAAGGATTCGTGGTTTAGAAGCCAGAATAGAAATCTGCTAGATGCATGCTAAAAAAATTGAGACCGAGGCTCAGATGTTCACAGATGCTCTCCATCCAGTTTCACTGAGCTGAGAGACTGGATGCCTGACTATGAATCCAAGGCAAGACATTTCAGATTTTTGTTGGTGAAGAATTTTGGGAAAAAAACAAAACAACACATTATTATCGATGAGGTTCAAACATGTGAGGTGTCAGAGAGCCTGACATAAATCAAACAATCAGTAAATCTATTTGTCTGTCTGTCTTAGTTTGCTTCATATTGTCAGAATGATACTGAGTAACTCATGAACCTGAACAAAAATATAATCTTCTTTCTGATATGTGCTGTTTATTACAGTCACATAGTTACTGTCTAGTACAAGTGTAGAAAATTACTTTAAAACGAATTGATGCATAGTTTGTACAAAAAAACAGTAATAAGACAGAAATGACCAAATACTTGAAAAAATAATGGAAACATAATAAAATAAAGCAACTTCTTAAATTTTTAAAATATTGACAATTGTAGAAATTTACAGCTCTGAAAACAAAAAACAAATATGCAGATTGAAAAACAAAGCAATTTAAAATTTGAAGATTTGTCGTTAGTGGTCTTTGATATTTAGTACCATAAATAAATACGAAAGCTCAACTTTGTTCACCGAAGTTCAGCTTTACATGACTTTACTAAATTTGTAATACCTCACTGATGTGTTCATCTCCAAATCCCTGTCCTGGTTTCACCTGCATAGATTTAAAACAAATACAGTAGTAAGTGGTCACCCTTCTGTGCTTTAAATACAAACATGAAATATCTGTGCGATATCTAAACTTCTTTTTATTTACAGTTCCCACCTGGTTTATGAATGAACAGCCACCGGGCTCCAGGGACAAGCCCACATCCTCCACCGACCAAAACCCACCAACCTCTGGCTGTCCTCCAGTTTAAATGTGTTCCTAGTGCACACTTTTTGCCCCGCTGTGGACACTCACGCTGCTCAGTGATATGTGTTATTTTGCAGTCACACACCCAAGGGTATAATTATGCCAGTTTTCAAGAACTCTGCTGGCACATTTCTTTCTTCTGTTCAACTACAAAATAACTGGATAATGAGATGATTCTGTAATTTAATTTTACTGAGTCCTTTCAGATTGTCCCTAAACACATGTTTTATTGAGGTTGTGGAGGATTGTGTGACTGCACTGCAGACTGCTATGAGGGGGGAAAAAGAAGGATAGAGGGAAACAGCAGGGCAATTATGAGGCAGAGGACAAGGCTCTGCAAACAGATCTGACAAAGACATGAGGGAAATGTGTTGAATCCCATTGATTCTCATTACTGCAGGAGAAGCAGACAGGAAGAGAGAAGATATACTTAGACAAGCTGCGGTGAAGCACCTGACAATTTCCTTTCCTCGTGTTAGAATTTGGCCCCAGACTTTTTCTTTCTCTCGCTCTCTTTTTTTTTTTTAGCAGCACCAGCAGAAAGCTGGCTGCTGACACCCCATGCTGTTCTGCCATGGTGGGAGGGAGAGGGTGTAAGGGGATCGTGGGGGCTGGGGGGTAGTAGTAAGGAGCCAATCAATGTGAGCTTACAAAGGCAGGAGGAGGGTGGGGGCATTCAGAAAGCCAACAGTTCCCTTAGGCCACGGGCAATGAAGGAGTAGCAGAGACAAGCAGGGAGAGAAAAAGGCGAGGGGGTTGACAACATGTTTCCTTTGCTGCTCTGTGCTGAGAGGAAAAACATGAGCTCCCCAGCACTGACACGCAGCAAGTGGAGCACTGGCAGCAGCTCTTTGCACTTCTATGAAAACAAGGAGCAGTAGATTTTTAGTTTGTAAGACATGAAATAATTTAAAGCATCGACTTCAAAGTGCACAGCTCAACTGAAATGCTTCAAACCTGAAAAATAAAAAATCGAGCAAATATTTTTAATTTGATGAATACCGATTCTTTTTCAGTCATCAATAAATAATGTTGGCAGTTTGAAACAGAATTGAAGAACGGCAATAAAAGTAGAGTG